TCCACAAACTAAGCACAGCATAAAATGACTCATAAAAGGAAATTTAATGAAGATATAAAAAAACTGAAAGCAAATTAATTGATTAAAACACACAGACACACACATTGCATGCAGTCTTTCAACATTACATGCTGGTTGGCTTTGCATTTTCTTTTAAAAATATAATCGTAACTTCTTAATGTATAAGACAGTAAGGCCCTCAAGATACTCATGAAAAATTCTAATCAAATTTCACTCTAGAATTAGTAATCTGCTAAGAGAACCAGGCCTAAATAAATCTGTTATGTTAAACCAGAAATCAACACATGCTATTTTCCAAAGCAGGAGCTATATAAACGACAAGCTCTTCCATGTTTTTGTTAACTAGATTTGGTACACTTAAACATAAGCAGTACTCTCCATCCAGAGTACTCCAATACAAATGTTTTCATATCTTTTAGAATTTATAATTCATTCTAATGCTCAATCTTTATGAAAATCACCAGAGGATTTGCAAGTGCTGCCTACTATCTAGCACAGTAAAAACTGTATTTGTTCTGTTTTTAAATCCATAGGTTTTACTGTATGAGGTTTCAGAAAGAAACAACTTTATTATATTTTCTTTTGGTTGTCACTGATGATTTTAGCTTAAAGATCATTAATTTTAACACTACATCCTGTTATATTCTCATTTGTTGTTCTATTTATCTCAAAGGTAGACTTTATGTATTACCATTACAAAAAATAACTATTTGCATAATACTTTATGATTTTACATCTATTACAAACACATCACAGGGAGCCTGAGGATGCATTCAGTAGCTTGTCATTCACCACTTCAAGACTCTTCAGAACCAAACAAGGGGAGGGTGACATTTTGCTAATGGCAGAAGTAAAGAGATGAATATAAATAAAAACCTTGAAGGCTTAAAAATACAAGAGAATTTTTAAAAATACAAAAATATGATTCCTCTGCAATTTGTAAAACTCCATGTCCTTTCTGTAGAAGCAAAGTGTGTTTGGAAATTTATGTATCTGTTATAATACCCATTTAAATAGCCTAAAACTGCTATAAAAATAAAGGAAATTACCATCTTCTTGCTGTATTTTATAAAATAATATCATATTAAATTCAAATGCACCTATTTTAAAAATTCAGCTTTTCCTTAGCCTAGTGAAAACAATCTAAATACCATTTTTATAACTCTAGCCTTAATCCTATAACTATGCATATTAAAAATGTTTAAGAGGATATAACAATGAGCTAACATGTTTAGAAATTATATTGTTTCATAATTTCTTCCTGGTAAGACAATTCCAAAGAAAATTATTTAAAGCTATATTTTCTTCCATAACAACCAGTCCAGATAAAAAATACTGAATGCTCAGTTATGTCACCTCGAGTCCAAATGCTCAGAGCACTTAGAGCTTTTTGTAAACAATATGTCTCTATAGTAAATACATATTGGGCCACGATTTACTTAACATTTTTAAATGTAGTTTCATACCCAGCATAACACCATCTACACACACACACACACACCAAAGCAGTGTGCAGAAAAGGAAGGGAGTGCAGAGCAAGAGATGGAGCACGTTGTTGTTTTTCATTCATGCAGTATAGTGATGTCAGTGTCTGCAGCAGCAGAGGCAGCGGCAGGAACCTTGACCTGTGGAGACTAAATTCCACTGAAGTCAGAACCTTGCAGAATTCAAAAGAAACTGAGTAATCGTTTGAGAAATTGTCCAACTATTCATAGGAAGGATTTTAAGTGGCTAAGTAAACAGAACAGAATAGTTGTATAGTTTTAATTTGGGTAGCTCTCTAGCCCAGCTAGATGTGGAGAAGTAACATATAGGTAATATGATTAGGAGACTGGGGGCAGAAGAGCCTGCATTCAAAATCACTTCAATGTAAGAAACTGACAAAACCACCTGGTGTTAAAACCAGCAGAAAAGCCTCTTCCATTCCCAGTACAAGCTCTCTGATGATGCAAATCTGTCTATCGAACACCCAAACTCAGAAGTGTTTTCATCATGATTGCATTAAAATTGCATTAAACTCGGATGTGCCATACTACAACAAAGAGGATAGTTTAAGCCTGATCACAAATTTCATTAAAACTGCCTGATGATGGACCATGTAATTCCTAAGCAATTAAGGCTTTTGAAGGATGCAGAAAAACAAGTTGTACTATGATCTGTTGTAAGATGTTAGTGTTTATCAACAAAAGAGGAGGAGGTACTGGATGGCCATTATATTGTTGTAGCAATTGCCGAAACTACTCTTACTCTGCCCACAAAACCCTCTGTACACAATCTGTCTGGAATGCTTATTTTATGGCTCTCATATTAGTGCTTAAAAGAAAAGCCCAAAACTCAATCTGTACCCTGTTGAAGCTCAATCATTCAAAAATGTATGTGACTGCTGCCTTCTTTTCATTCTGTGACCTCTCATTTCATATAGCTCTAGAAAATGTGCAAGAGAGTTGCATATGGCATTAATCTGTTAGAAAATGGTGGCCTTTTCTATAAAATACAGCCAAAGATGTGTGTTCAGTGGTGGTCATTATTAGGGCGATCACGTTGTTTTCATTCATTCATTCAGGATTTGCTGGAGGATGTCAGTTTCTGCAGCAGCTGGCTTGACCTGGGGGAGGAGTGGGGGAGCAAATTCCTCCTAGTGCATACAGATTACAGGATGCATTTCTTGGTGCTCATGTACACATACCAGTGCTACTGCATCCTACCTTGCCTCACCATCAAGCGGTCTGAAAACAAGTGCCTTAGCAACATGTTAATTACAGGTCAGAAATATTAAAACAAAAAACACCAAAACTGTAATCTATCATAACACAGCCACTTTCTCCAAGTCTAAGACCCTCGTCGGGGAAACTCCATAAAAATATCCCACATACCACATAAACATTTGCACAGAGAGCTCCGCAGTGTTTCTCTTCCCAGCAGATTTTCCACTTAGTCTGCTCTGTTCTCCCCACAATGCTGCAGCGGCGGCATCTGTAGCTCTAGCCTGGGATCTAATAATATGAGCTGCTCTCCTCTCCCTTATGAGCTTTAACTCCCTGTTTTGGCTAATCTTCCTTTTCTCCCAGGTGACTCCACTACATCATGCACCGTGTCCCTAGACATAAAACAAAACCAAACTAAAACAGAAAACCTTAAGGGAAGCCAACAGCATCCAACTCACCATTACCTTTGACACCCAACAAAAAAAGAAACTTGAGATCCTTTAACAGCTCGACTGAACTGCGAAGTGTGCTTAAAAATGGGAGGAAAAACTGAGCACACACTTCACAAACAGGTCTTTAAAATTTACCATGAAAATGCTGAGCTGGGCATAAACTGTTTCCAGTGAAGTACTGCTCTGATGCATAGTGATGCTGAGGAGACGGTTCTCTTTTGGACTTTACCCTAACTCCTGCCTGATTTTTTTACAAAATTTTGTTATTGATTACTTGTAGAGTAGAGATGGGGGGGGGGGGGGGGGGGGGATTAGCAAAACAAAACACTATACGCTTCAATTGCACATCCCAAAACTGTCCCCTTACCAAAAAAAATATCCTTACATCACAACTAATGCCAGCACCCCCTCCAAAAAGAAAAAGAAAGGAAAGAAAAAAGAACCATCCCGGGAGCCAGAGACATTAGGAACTTTGCAGGAAAGCACAAAGAGGCTGCTGCAGAGTTTGCGTGCGTGTTTCCTAAGTGTTTCGCCCAACTCCTCTCCGTCCCCCGCTGCAAACAGCAAACACATGAGTGAGCTAATCAGCTCCTTAGATTGAAAAAACCCCTGCACGCAGGTGAGGGATGCAAGATCAAACCCGAGGGGCGGCAGGGGGAGGGGGCGTTAAAGAAAAGTTGCTTCGCAGTCCGCTCCGCCGATCCCCGCAGCGACCGCAGAGGGTGAGGCTCCCCGAGCCGCGTTCACACCTTGGCGAAGGCACTAGCAGAGCGAGCCCGGGGAGGCTGCCGTTTCCGCGCCGGGCACCGGCTA